CCCCCGCCCCCCCCCCCCAAGAAAACACTGTACCCTCGTGCTTCATCACAACAACCACTGGTTTGTGTACAAGAGGTGTCCTGGATATCCTGCGAAAATGTGTCTCACCACGTCACCCATCTCTTCCACGCGCCAACCCAGCGCTGCAAGGTTCTGATGGAGGCCTGCCTCCCTCAGTAGCTGAGGACTCTTGTCCGTTCCCGCAAGGGGCTGCCCAAACATAGCAGGCGCGCCGATTACCGCCGCCGTCCGCGGGGATGTCAAGAACGACGGCCACGCCATCTGACAAGGGTGACATGAAACATGGGGGAGTGTACGATGAAATGTCAACAAGAGAGCAATCCACGAAAGGGAATAGTGGCACGCAGAACTCTGATTGGTAACAAGAAACTAGGAAGAATTTGGGTGGAGAAAAACACCGTGCCCTTTGAAGAAGATTCACTCTGAGGGGTGGGACAGACACTCGTCACGCCTTGGCTTCACTGTGACAAGCTGGCAGAAAGAGGGGCTATGAAAAATTACATTTGTTCATTCGATCCAAAGGCACCGGCCCAGAACGACGCTTGTTCGCGTGAGATTCAAGATTATAATGGCAGTAGCTTGTCCCAGAAGAAGCCCAACACTTCAAACGTGGTACACACACCACGTGTATGAAGCAGAGGGTTATAACCGTTCTGGGTGAAGACACGCACACGTGCCTCTCACTACTATAAAGAGACTCGAACTACAATGATAAGGATGTGCGAATCACCCGCTCAACATCAAAAACACAACAAGGAAAACAACGGAGAGAACGCCTGAGCCGACCACAGTTGGAAATATTCAATGGTGATTCCCTTACGAAAGTCGCGAAACTCGTTCAGCATTGCGACCTGGACTTACATATGCGTTCAAACAGGACCCTTTTCATAAGTTGGCCAACGCAAATATCAAAACAGAAAAAAAGTTTTATACAAACCAGAGCAGCGGTAGTCCCAAGCCGAAACTGTGCGTAGATAAAGAAGATACGTTGAAAAAGCACGTTCTGCAATTATTTAGCAATAGTCAATACCTTCGGGGAACTCGGCAGATAGAAGTATGCGGATTGTTTAGCACTTACATGTGACGAGTTGAAGACACTGTCATCCCGTCGGACTACGGCTCAAGGCATTGCAGTCTCCTCGCTTGTTTCGCCAACTCAAAGCCAAACATGGGGGAAGCCCCACAGCGTTCATGTGTGCCGGGTGATACCGGTCAAGTACTATTTTTCCTTTCACACCTTTGCCCTCTCCCGCATTCTTGCCTACCCCACGGGGCTGCCTCTTGCAGCCAAAGAGTTTGCGCATGTTTTCCCATATACTGGGCCACATCTCGATTGGAGTAGCGTGTTTGACGCGCTAGCAGGGGTCAAACGGGAGGAAGGGAAAGCCTGGATGTTTTTCGTTCTCCACCTCATGCTTTGCGGTGCTTGCATTCCTTATACAGGAACGCGAGAAGGATTTCCCTCAGTTTGTGACGACTTGCATGCGCCTTTCGTGACTATTGCTTTTCACTTGAGCGAGATTCGAACCCGCAACCTAGACTACCAGAACGTTACGAGCTTACAGATTGAACCATTGAGCCATCATAGCGACCACAACCATAGACTTACCATTATAGTGTAGTTGCACAGCAATCTCGTAGGGAGCAGCAGATGCAGAGGGCCGGCGTACGATTGCCGAAGTTGACACACATATATCTCTGGTACAGCAACTTGGGTCCAGCGACATGCACCAGCGACCCTGAACATGAAATAGAAAAGGAGGCTGGAGTCCTGACAATAGGCAGACTACCTGCTGGTGTCGTCGAACCTCACTTGACGGACTTGAGGATCACGACAATCAACGCGAGGAGCTCCGAGAGACAAGCCGAGCGCTGCGTTCGTGTGTATGCATATGACACGGCACGCTTTCTGCCTTCCGTCGGAAAGAGCTCATGAACCAATAGCGCGATTCAGCGAGGACTATGGAAAGTGCCTGCGTATACAGATCGAGCTGGATCATCAGGAGGTCAAGCTATATACTGCTGTAGATGGCTCCATGAAGTCGCTGCTTCGCTGAAGCGTAAGCATTTGGCAATAGAGCAGGTGATGAGTTCAAAGTTCAGAGGTTTCAGTAGTCTGACGTCTGAGTCTTCTAGAGAACCAAAGTCCAATGGGTCTCACACCAACCCCGTAGACTGACTAGTGCTAGTCGGTGTCCTCAACGTCGCAGGGCGAACAGGGTGACAGAGTTCTGGACGCCCCTTACGGTACATGTACACGGCCAACTTGCTCACGGCAAAGGACATTCCCTGAAGAAAATCAGATCGTGGGTTAAGAGGGAGACAGAGAGCTGGGCTGCGCGGGAAAAACTCAAGTGGAAAGAGGCGTAGATGTCATAGCGGGAAGATCTTGGTTCTATAGCTACACTGCCCGTCCTTGTGTGAACGACTGCTTGTCACGGCAGTGAACCGTTGCTCCTGGTTCCAATCTACTCCTCATCAGATTTTGTGCGGACCTCTGCGACTTCGAATTTGAAAAAAAAAATTACCAAACGCTTCAAGTTGCAGAACTGGTGGATTGCTGCAAACGCACCTCGTTTACGTCGACCACGTCTCTCAGCTGGGCCAATGGTCCTCGGACTTGGTACGAACCATTCACTCCCGCCGCAAAACACCTCACGCTTTGGAGAAATCTCGAACGAAGCCACCCTGCTGGTGCTCCAGGAGGACACCTCATCATCACATTGCTCCGCATTCGGAACACCTACTTCACCGATGTAGCTGCGATCACCAATCGATCCGATTTGCGAAGGCACGGACGAGTAGGTTTGCCGCTGGTGACACGATCGGAAAAGTGAGAAATGATGGTGATCGTGTCGTTGCGAGGGATACAAGGAGGTGTGTGCAGGTTGGCTTCCAAAAAAAAGGGGCACCGTGACGTGCTCTAGCTCACCTTCAGATTGCAACTAGACATGAAAGGATCATGAAGGATATGTACCTCCATGTACATGAAGATTAGAGACCATGAAAAAGTAAACTTCTCGGTCAATTGAAGAAAACTGTCTGTCGTGGCCAGACAATAAACGACAAGACGGTTGGTTCTCGTTTCGAAACCAGTCGCGGAGGGAAATAATAACGGTCCAACCAGCCCCGAATTCCTGCTGTCTGTATGTACAAGAAAGATGTGACGACCAACACCAACACGTTACTGCTTGCTGTACTCCTCGTGGCGATGTGCTACTACTACAGCTGTGATAACCAGTTATAATTTGTGAATGGACCTGAAACACATCAGATGTGCCAGCCAAACATAGCACCATGCCTCCATTCGGCTGATTGGTGTTGGTTTCTATATACGAGACAGCCAGACGGGCGGCTTTCGAAACAACGGCTGATGTTCGGCGAGTTGGTGGGAGGGGAGAACCCGGGCCGGGGAAGCCCGGAGCAGAACTGGCTGATATGCCTGAAGGACGACCTGAAGATGTTCGAAGCCAGACACGGCTCCACGCCCGACAAGCGGAGCTTCTTCGGAATCCCGAAGCCAGACTGGGACGAGGCGGCGAAGGTGGAGGGGGGGGTACCGTGGCACGCGGGGGTGCTACAGGG